AGTTATTTCCTTTGATCTCAGCAACCATTGAGTCCGATATTGTTCATATTTGGTAGGATTGCACCTTGACACGAGTAGATGTGCTTCTGACAGTAATGACCACGCGCTCCCCAAAAATATGCAAATTAGATCAATGCAGTTACTTGCTGCTATCTCTACCACCACCTTCTCGATTTTATTAGTCCTCGTTCGGAACGAAGTACGAAAACAGGGACTTATAATTTGGTCTCCATCCGTCCGTGCGTTCGTGTGTCTGTGCGTCCGTCCGGAGTCGTATCTCAGAATCCCTTGGACCGATTCCGTTCATTCTTTGCGTGTGCCTAGTACTTTATGTGGGACATATGCACATGCAGTGGTTTAGCGATTCGATTCAAAATGGACATGCTTTGTCAGTTTTCACTCAAACTTGGTACATAGATTATACATGTTAGGATACATGTCCATGATGATTTATTTCATAATTGGATCAAAAATGGCTGACTGGCAGCCATCTTGTTTTTTGAAAATGTCGTATTTTGGACATGCTTTGTCAGTTTTCATTCAAATTTAGTACATAGATCATACATGTTAGGATACATGTCCCTGACCGTCTGTGAGTTCCTGAGTCTGTCCGTCCGTGTGTCCGTCTGTCAGTCTGTTCAACGTCATATTTCAGAATCCTGTGGACCGATTCCGTTCATTCTTTGCATGTGCCTAGTACCTTATGTGGGACATATGCACATGCAGTGGTTTAGCAATTCGATTCAAAGTAGCCGACTGCTTTGTCAGTTGTCATTCAAACTTGGTACATAGATTATACATGTTAGGATACATGTCCATGACGATGTATTTCGCAATTGGATCAAAGATGGTCAAATGGCAGGCATCTTGTTTTTGATTTTTTATGCGGTATCTTAGACGTGCTCTGTCAGTTTTCATTCAAATTTGCCACATACATGTACTTTATACATGTTAGGATGCATGTCCATGACAATTTGTTTTAAAATCTGGTCAAAGATGGCCGATTGACAGCCATCTGACTTTTTGGTCTTACTGCTATATTTCCACAATTTATGTACCATTTTTATTTGGCACATATATCATACATATCAGTGTGTTTCATAATCAGATCAAAGATGGCCAAATAACGGCTGTTTTTATTTTGGCCATATTACTACGACACGAAACACGCGTTTTGATGTAAATAAACAATCTGTCGTATTCGCCACTTGGCAGTTTCAAGAGAACTTAACGGGGACTGTGTCATTTTCAATGACTTGTTCATATTTGGTACGAGTGGATGTGCTTCTGACAGTAATGATCACACCCTCCCAAAAATATGCAAATTAGATCAATGCAGTTATTTGTTGCTATCTCTACCACCACTGTGTCGATTTTATTCATATTTGGTATGATTACATCTTGGCACGAGTAGATGTGCTTTTGGCAATAATGACCACACCCTCCTAAAAATATGCAGTTATTTGATCTTTGATTTGACCCAGGTCCTGGTAATATACTAAGACCTTAATTAGCAAAGAAGTCGTGTACATCAAGGTTCACTCAGATTTATGAATGCAGTTTCTTGAGCAAGTATACATGTATGACAAATAGTTTTGTTGCACTTAGTGGATTCTGAAAATGGGTCAGTGGAAGTTTTTAGTTGTCAGTACAAAACTAGATTATGGGAAATCACTTCATGATGAGTTGTACCCACATAGAGTACATATTTATTCACCTGTTTGCAGATGTTCCTTGTACTACTTTATAATCAAATAATGGAGACTGTGACATTCATGTCTTGTTTTTTTAATCCCAGACGACTTTTCAAGGAGTATCATCATTTGCTGCTTACAAAGATTTCTTGGAGTGGGAGAAATTAATCACAAAGGAAGTTGAAAAACTTCCAGAAGACTCTCCGCTGAGAAGTGCGTTCCAGACTTGCGAGTTTTGGAAAACCATCTTCATGGAAGTGTTGGGAGTGACTAGCGCCATATATGGACTGGTGTTCTCCATGTTAGTCTGTGTGCTTTCTGTTGCTGTCTTCACAGGTCATGTTGGATTATTAGTTGTTGTCATGTTGACCATATCAGGTATGAATGAATAAATGCAATCTTTAAATTTTATGATTCATGTTGTGAAGCTGACAATAGAATTTTGGAAAAAAACGACAGTGCTGCTGCATCTTCTGTTTCGTCTGTCTGTCAATTTGAAGGGCGCCATCAAGTGTTAATTATTATAAATTTTGACATTTGAACCCATGTATATTTTCATCACTAGATATTTTTTTATCTGATTACTTGAAAGTGTATGTGAAGTCAAAAAGTTTTGAAAACAGTTTTAAAAGACCCCAGTAATGTCAACAATTATTTCCATACTTAAATTTGTCCGAGAAAATTCAGAATTTTTATCTGTGAAAC